CCTGTAACAAAACCACATTAGGTAGGTGACAGTAGTGGAGGCCCAGGCAGCTGCTAAGGTTCAAACTTCCCATATGGAAAAGAAATAGTAAAAACTTAGGTGATTACTCATGAAAGTGGCCACTTTCTCACTACTTTCATACATTGTTTTAGTAAGTATCCAAAACATACAAGTTTCATTATATAATTTTTCAAGGGATCTTATATTTGTTTTCACTCTTATATGCTTTTCATACAAGTTTCACACAAGACAGATACAAACGTTATAAGATTTATATATATCGTTTCCATATGGGTTTAGCCACTCTCAGTGAAATATTTACAGCTAAGCACTGAATTTTACAGTCAGATATAGAACATAACTGTATAAGAGGCAAATAAACTGGTTGATCAAGATGTGATCACACTCATCCAGTAGGGGGTTGATATCATGATCATAAATGCTCACAAAATCTGTACTTTTATGAATTCGTACACATTATTTCAACTGACTAACGAGCAATTATTTCTGTTAGTTATCAAATACCGGATAAGTCGTATCTCCAATTCGTCTGAAAAATAGAGGATGGAGAGTTTCTATGTCAATGCTTGATGTAGTCTTTTCTTCCTTCATGTCGCCCCCACCCCCAAAGTTAACAGTGGAGGGCTTCTCATCTGAGAGTACCTATAAGAGCGAATTGCTTTGTTGAAATCACATTAGATCACTTTAGTCTACTGACTCGGAAGATCTTTCAGAGAGCGTTGTGCTTCGGCAGGAGTGGGGAAAACTTTGATAGATCCCTGGTGCCTGATGCGAAGCTGAGCTGGGTACATCAGCACATATTCGATCTCCTTCTCTCGTAGCCATTTTATCGACACGGTTATGTGCGTCTCTAATGTCGTCTTCGTTTGCGCTCCGTCTCCTCAACCTGCTCAGGAAGCGCATTGAGACAGGATTCAATTTTCGTCAGGGTTGTTTGTATGTCCGCCGTTTTTTGGTTTTTTGTTTTTGTTTTTTTTTTGTCAGCGTGGTTCGTGAGGTCCTCTTTAGTTTCCTTGATAGCATTGAGTAGTTTGCTAATTGTCAGTTCCTCCTCCCCATCTGCCATATTTCTTGTTGCTGATATGTGCAGGTGCCCTGAAGTTTTAGCCGTTTTCTTTCGAGTGTCGTAAATTATAACTTGTCATACAGAAGTTTCCTTAGTAACTTTGCCTCTTGCTATGGTCCAGAATTATATGAGGGTAAGTCAGGATAAAGATAGATTCCTGGGCCTACAGCCGAGCTCACGAACACACGTCTGCTCTCTTCCGCTGTCAGCCATCTTTTAAAAAACAAATCGCTCCTCTGACTCTTAAATCACACGTTTGTTGTGAAGCCGTGTTCCCACACCAAAGCTCACCAAAACGCTGTAACGCGTAAATGATGTAGACAGGATAATACCGTGTCTCGTTATTTTATGACACATATTACATTTTTATGTAATATGGACTTATTTTTCAAGTCCATATTACACGTTGTGACATTCAGCCATGAAGCTAGCACACCAACACCTGCTGATAGCTGCGTGCTGACATGTTATGTAATAGCACTACTGAGGGAGGTAAAGAGAGAAGCACAAAGGTCATTCTGTGTGCACGGTGTAATCCCAGCATTACTGTGAGGTTCTGAACACTCACAATGAGTTGCAGCACAGAGCCAGAATCCTGCCACCGTGCTCACAGCACAGAGCCACCTGTGCTAATTACTTAACATCTCCCATGTGCACAAAGTAAGAAATGTTTTTACATAGAATTTAGTGCAGTTTGTAGTAACTTCCCAGCCACAGACCTTAGTAAGGCGTATTTGTTTGAGACACTGAGGACATGGGCTGCAGGCATCAGCGCACTCTGACGTGTCTGACGTGTCGATATGTATAAAATAGCAGTTAAATGCAGGTGTTCCCCACTCTGTCCAAGGGCAGTGCTGATGGACGATGGGGGTCAAAGGTAATGGTGGTTGCTCGGCAATGAAGGTGATTCTTTTTTTTGGCTATTTATTCTAATAAATTAACGTCATTATAAATGTAATCTGTATTTTCATGTTGCAGCACACGTGTCATGGCATGCATGGGTCTGCAGACAACCCTCGTTTGTGCACAGACTTCAGCATGCTTTAAAGCAGACCTTCCCAAAGTGTGGGGCCCGCCCCCTGGGGGGGATGCGCAAAGCCATGGCAGGGGGGGCGCGGGATGAAAAGGGGGGGGGACAAAACGCTTGGACACTGCTAGCATGGGCGCCTACAGAAACGCAAAGCAGGAGATGAAGCATCGCTGAATATGTTTCCAAACCAACTTCATTCTAAGCCAAAGACTAGAAAATATGGTGAAGCAAATCTGCCCTTTGGCTTCACCTGCACAGGTGCCGAGGTAGGTCTTCCTGCAGGGTGGCTTTCCCCTGCGTCGGGAGCAGCGCTGGGATGTTTAAATCACGGACAAACAGGATCCCACATTCTTGATTTAGTTCACAAACACTTCTTGTAATGACTAACTACTCCTGACATTTTGGAGATATACATACTATACTATACTTTATACAGTAAAGTTACAGCGGGATACAAATAACATCAGCCTGATCCTGCCACGATTGTTCAAATCACGGACAAACAGGATCCCACAGCTGTTTATGTTTTTAAACCCATTTTGCACAGAGAGGCATTTTTTGAAAAATGTATTGATAGCAATGTTGAATATTATTACACAGGAAAAAACAACACGTAAAATAATCACACGGTGACGCCTCTGCCTTTGTAAATGGAGGGACAGTAACTGTGTGTAAAACCTGCAGACAGTCAGATTAACAGTATTTCGTCTCTATCTGCTATTCTGCAATTCATCTCCTGTAAACAATAACGTGGCCACAGCGTGATGTGAATAAAGGCACATACCTTTGACGTTGCATGATGAACTCTGTATTCCTCGTCCACACGGAAACGCAAAAAAGGATTTTTAAAAAAAAATCTCCTTTTTCGGTGATTCGAAACATTGTTTACGTGGACGAAACAGCTGCGTGTTCAAAAACACCCGTGTAGGTGTGGACGCAGTGTAAAAGAGTTGGTAGTTTATTTTCTTGCTACCTGTGATTTATTGCTGTTTACTTTTATTTGCTTAATTGTTTACTAAATGTTTGAGGTGTGAAATAAACCGCAATGGAGCAAAATATGGGCGTGTGTGGCTGGAGGATGTGTGTGTGCGTGCATGTGCGTGCGCACATTAGGGCTGGGCGATATGACCCAAAATTCATATCTCGATATTTTTTAGCTGGATGGCGATATAAGATATATATCTCGATATATTTTTTTAAAGCCATAAAGTAAGAACAAGAAGAGAGTTCTTAGTCAAAGCTGTGTCCCAGATGTCACACAGGCACTTTTATTAAAATAGAGCAGATGTACATAAAATTTACTCAAAAATTAATTATGAGCATTTATTAAATAATAATGCTCCATAAATAAAAGAAAACAATGTTGTTTTTGTGCATAATAAAAAGCTCACAATTGTGCAGTCAAAATGTAAACTAAAAGACGCTGAGCATAATAACAAAGACAGATTTCACAGCTGCTCTGTTCCCAATTTGTACTGCGTGACTGATAGCCTGGAGTTTGAAATCCGCTTCGCAACCACGTCTCTTAACAGGTGCCATTTATGGTCCTTATACACAGTAGGGTAATATTACGTTGAAGCACAGTACGTATCACTCCGCGAGGCTCAGCCGTAATCCTCCGATAATCCATCAAGCGGTGCAGCTCCGTAGCTTACTAAAGTCGTACTAAAACATTTTTGACAGATTGCTGAGCGTCGTGTTCCACATAAAATCGGTTCGCGGCCATCAAACACAACCAGAATTTATACATAAGGCGCGCTGTCAACTTTTGAGAAAATGCAAGGATTTTAGTCCGTGCAGCACCTCTGGGCTGCATGGCGTTAGCGTGGTTAGCTCGTTAGCGTGGTTAGCTAGCTAACACGTTGACGCCGTCCAGCCCCACACACGGGGCGATGCGCAGTAACTCGTTAACGGAGATTTGCCGTGTCCATCTTGTCGCTTCCTGCAGGTGAAGCGATGGGGGAGGAGGGGGAGTTGTGTTCAGTGAAGGAGAGGCGAGGCCGAGTAACGTTGCGTAAAGACGAAAGTGGACGAAAGAGAGGCAAATTTGCGGCTCCACAAGTATAATTATAACGTAACATAGACTATATCGATATAAAGGATATTGTCACATCTTATATCTCGCATAAAAATATATCGATATTTTTTAAAAACTCGATATATCGCCCAGCTCTAGCGCACATGCAGGTGGGGGGCGCGAACATTTTTCTTGAAAAGAAAGGGGGGCGCAGCAAAAAAGGTTTGGGAACCACTGCTTTAAAGTGTGCGTGCGTGCGCTTTTGTGGAAAGCTGCCTCAATCCATCATCATGATTCAAGGATACGAGGATTTTTATTATAATTTCAGCACACATGCTCACACAAGGTGAAACACTCTCTGTTTAGAAGCCAAAACGAATGAGAACACAACCGAGCGAAATCAAAGAATAAAAGTATATTTACAGTGTAAACTACGTGTAAATAAAAGAGTTGGAGCAACAAGCTGACGGACACGTAGCTCTGGGTTTGTTTTATTTTGTTTTTGTGATTCTTGTGTGGTCTGGGCCTGGTGTGAATTTGATTGGACATCTGCTCCTGGGAAGATTGTGTTTGTATTAGCACACACCCTGATGCTCTAGACCAGCATACGTCCAAATCTTCTGCTTTTGTCGAGGTGCTCACACTTTCTGGTCATCACTTAATCACGCACATTTGATTAGCAGCACCTGGTTGCTACTTGGTCTCTTACTTCCTAAGTAAAAGTGGACTTTTCCATAGTTTTAGACTGGAGAGGTTTCCTTTTTTACAGCTGCAGAGACAATCAGGAAGCAGCATCATATCATTGGAAACATAAAGGTCATAAGCAGTGTGCATATGAACCCACTGAAGAAATGTGTTTTACACAGGAAAGCTTACCTGGACGCAACTTCACCTTCTGGCAGTGGTTTGATGGAGTAGTAGAGCTTATGAAGAAACACCTGAAGCCTCACTGGAATGATGGGTAATCACTTTTATTTATGTTCCTTCTGCGAGAATCTGGAATGAAGATTTATTTGTCTTGTATGATAGATTGAAAAATGATCTCGACTGTCAGCTTTAAACGAGCTTTGTGCTGTAGCAGAGCTGGTGGGGTGAGGGCAGCACAGTGCACTTGTGACAGTGCACCGGTGGTGTTTTAGTGTGTAACTGTGTGTGTCCGCAGGGCCATTCTGGGCTTTGTAAACAAGCAGCAGGCACAGGACATGCTGATGTCCAAACCCAACGGCACTTTCCTGCTGCGGTTCAGCGACTCTGAGATTGGAGGCATCACCATCGCCTGGGTGGCAGAAAACCCCAACAAATCAGGTACGCAGTGGCTCTGCTTTCTGGCTCTGTTACATATACAATGCACTGCTGCCAAACAAAACACACTTTCAAAAAGTCCACATGAAGCTTTTGCTCTGTTGGAGACACAGGTTGATCTTCTTCTGTCAGTCACAGCCTGTGAACTTGTCCTTGAGTGACATGTCCACACAGAAACACTCAGCGTGGCACAAAGCCCACTGATGATTATGAGACGCTGTCTCTGCGTCCGTCCTTTTGCATGCGATCACTGCAATCCTCGGTTCTTTTGTGTAGGTGAGAGGCTGGTCTGGAATCTGCTGCCTTACACAACCAAGGACTTCTCTATTCGCTCGCTGGCTGACCGCATCAGTGACCTGAACCATCTCCTGTATCTGTATCCTGACCGGCCCAAAGACGAAGTCTTCGCCAAGTACTACACTCCCCCACTTTGTATGTGTCAGCTCATTTTTAACATCGACACTTCACTGTTACCATAACACATATCTACTGTTTTATTTTATCTTTTGTTTTGTTCTTACCAGCAAAAGCAGTTGATGGATATGTGAAACCACAGATCAAACAAGTCGTGCCAGAGTAAGTGTCTCTGTGTCAAACTGCCACAGGAAATCTGCTACCTTTGTGTCAGTTTGTCACTCCCACATGTGAAGCTTTGTATCTGCACCTTTTGTTTTCCTCATTTTTGTTGAGCAGGATTAAAATTTCAAGCAGAAAACGTTACGATCCAGCAGAGTATTTCTGTGTTAGTCATAACTTTACTAGCAGCTATAAAGATCACTAACACTATAATTTAATGTAAAACTAATCTTCTTAAACGTTCCTTTAATGCATTACGTTACTTAACTAGGTTTAAATATAAGTTATAGTTCTGCACAGTGATAGTTATGACATCATGTCTCCGTTTTTCTCACCTGCCTCCTCGCTCACTGACACCTCCGTGTTATTCCTGCCTACCTGAGGCTCTAACACATAAAACCGTGCAGAAACATCTTCATATCGTTACCGTTACTTGTTGTTAATTACCTCCAGTTTAGACATGTGGCCCTGCTGTTGCTGGGCAGCTGGCAACGAGACACTGATTACATTCACCTCGTATGAGAGTTTGTTGTTTAAGTGTCCAAGCCAAACAATGTTAGATCAAAAAAAGTTGCATTAACGGCAAAATGTGACCTTAGAGCACGGTTGTCATGTTCAACAGAAGCAAGAACAGCAACACCTGAAGTTCAGGATTTCCTCAGCAGCTCACCTCAGTATCAAACTTCTTACATTAACAGCGTCCACCACAGTAAATAGGATATATGCTGACAGCTGACTGACAGCCTGCACTCACTACAGGTGAACAGCAGCTACAGTAGCTGGATTGTAGTCTGCTGACATCTAGTGGTGAAAATGTACACTGCACCAGTAACATCACTGGTTTCCTAGCTTGACGTTAGCTTGCTGGCTGGGAAGATGGTGGAAGAGAGTTGATGTGCAGCAGCTGTTTCTTAACCATGTTGTTCTCTCTCTGTTCTCCACTCGCTCTTTTTTTGCAGTCAAAATAAGAATAATGTTGATATCTGCACTCAAAACTTATAAACACTCAACTCAATGTTATCTAAATATTAACCTGAATATAAATATATTAGTAATATAAATAAAAATGAATATCATTGTAAAATGTGCTCTTTTAGTAATGCTGCAGTAGGCTAAAGTGAAGTGTGGCATGTCTCTGATAGATTCACCACCCCGAACCCTGAACCCAGTGCAGGAGCTACTGCATTCATGGACCAGACTGCTTCTCCCTCTGTGACCCACCCCAACAACTTCAACGTCTACCCTCCCATGTAAGCAGCTTTCTTTTTGCACGTGTGCATATGTTTAATAAAACTCTTATAAACATGTGAAAACACAAAATTAGTCAGAATGCCTTTGACATTTGTGCAGTAGTACTTCATAACCTTCATAAATCCAGGAAACGTTTTGTTCTTAAGTCAGATTCACCAAGAACACTGAGGTTTGGCAGCACAGCATGTACACATGATCATTGCTTCATGCAACAAAATTCTGTGGTAATAATCATCATGCTGATATTTAAAAAAATAATATTTATAATAGATATGTAATGGATATATTATACATGATCAATATTGGCATTCAGTAAATGCATCAGGGGAAAGCTGGTGCTCAGTATCATGTCCAAAGATATTGCAACATGCAGACTGGAGCAGCCTGGGATTGAACCAACAGCATGTGTGGCAGAACCAGGCTCCGGGAGGAGCGCCATCTACAGGAAGACGGGAGAAAGACACGCTGTGGAAAAGAGCCAGTGGTTAATAATGCTGATGATTAAACGCAGAGTGGCATGTAACCACGTAGTGAGTGAAAAAGGTGACTGAAGAAGAAACAGCCTACGCATAATGCAGCATAACTCAGGCAGGAGTGGAAACTGGAAGCTGGTTCCACAGAAGAGGGGCCTGAAAACTGAAGGCTCTGCCTCCCATTCTACTTTTAAATACTCTAGGAACAACAAGTAGGCCTGCAGAGCGAGAGCGAAGTGCTCTAATAGGGTGATATGGTACTACAAGGTCATTAAGATAAGATGGGGCCTGATTATTTAAGACCTTGTATGTGAGGAGCAGGATTTTGAATTCTGGACACAACAGGAAGCCAAAACAGGAGAAATCTGCTCTCTCTTTCTAGTCCCTGTGAGCCATCATAACCCAGAACCAGGTTTGGTGTTTCAGGGAGTTTTTAGGACTTCCTGATAATCATGAATTACAGGCTGCAGCCTAGTCCAGACAGTTTGTAAACAATGCAAACTATCAATACTGGTTTTGGGTGTCTTTGTTGTCACTGCTTCATTCAGGAATGTAAACCATCCATGATGAAACATTGTTTTCCATTGACCATCTTCGCTGCTGTCCTGTCAGGGCTGACGGCATGTTGGATCCCGATGGGGACTTTGATCTCGAGGACACCATGGATGTGGCTCGTCATGTGGAGGAGCTGCTCCGCAGGCCTATGGCCAACCAGTGGAACAGCCAGCAGTCCTAAACCAGACACCCGCACCTGCGGCACACCCCGAGGTCATCTCCATCTGGAAACACTCACGCCTGCAAAACCACCTGGACTGCAACCAGGGCAAGTCGGGCAGATCTGCGTCACATTTTGTTATTCAGGTTTCTCTTTAGCTGTGTCCAAAATGAGAATGCACCTGGTGTCGAATCCTTGTCTACTCGCCCAAGACTTTTTAAAGAAGTAAAATCAATGTTACTGCCATTCAACAAGCTTTAGATCCTCCCCTGCTTCCTGTAGTTTCTCACTGCTGCTGTCTGGAGGCAGTTTGCTTCAGTTGGATTTTTATTAAAAACTGAGACGGGTCGTTCTCAGCAGAAGCTTTGCCTTTGTATGCGCCCGCTGAGCATCAGGAGACGTGCACGACACAGATAACACACAGCTTAAGTCCCTTTCAGACACGCACTCACTTTTCTGTTGCATTGTGATGTTAAGGGCCGGCTCATTTACAGTAACGTCTGAATGCACACGGGCACAGCTGGAGGAATGACTCCGTGTCCTGGACCTGTTTGTTGTTGCTCGCCTGTTTCTATTTTACAGTATGATTAGACTGATGCATTTCCCAATCAGGAAGCCTGAAGCTGTCTCACACACTGATCTCACTGTGGAGAAGTTCAGCTACACCTCACTGCGTGTCTGAAAGGGCCTTAATATCACTGTGAGGAGCTCTCTCTCCCAGTACACAGGCAGTACTGGTTACTGTGACGCATAGTTAACAAATGTATTCTTTTCTGTATTACAAAGATGATTTTCTTTATTATTGTCAAGAAAAATGAGAAGATTTCCAATCAAGACTTAAAGAAAGACGATGTAACTTATTCCAAATCTTGAGTAATAGCTTAAAGTAGAAATGGACAGCCAGAAGGAAACAAACTTGCCTCCTAGTAAGGTACCTATTTATAATTAGCTCCTGAGCCAAGCTGTGGCCTAAGCTTGAGGACAGGTTTACCCTCCTAGGACCTGCCGTCCACATATGTGGACATCACATTTTGGGTTATTTAGACCAAAATATTGAATTGTGCTGTACAGGAGCCTGGACGAGGACATTATACTGCTACTGTTCTATCAACATTTTAAACGAATATCCTCATATGTGGCTCTCATTTTTCTTAAAAACAAAAATAAGGTAAAAAAAATAAATAAAAGAAATCTGGTAATTCTTTGGGGCCCGATCAATGTAAAAACAATGTGACCAAATATCAAAGAGAAATTAAAAATGCTGCTGTGGAAGAGTTCGGGTCTCAGGAGGCTAAAGCTCCCTGTTGGCTCAGTGTGAGCCAGCGTCTGTGGGCCGCAGCTGTTTCAGTGTTTGGTTGAACCTGCAACAGCTGCTGTTTCTGTAACATGCTACACACCTGAGAGCAGCTGCAGACTGAACGTTAGTAAAGTGACCCTGTAGTGTGGGGTAGCTGTGGATGTGGGGCTTGCTGGCACCGACTCTAAATTGTGAATGTCGATTGGCTAACACGGCGGTTTGTTGCATCTCTTCCCTCAGAGGTTACTTGGTCTTCCTCGAAGTCCTGACAATAAACTGTAAGAGGCGTGTTTAAAACATGTTTCTCTGTGACGACGTTGAACCGAGCTGCCTTACTGCACAGCGCACTTAGGTGCTATCACTATAACTGCTCACTGCTTTGAATTTTGTTGTTTGTCTTCTCTCAGATGGAGTTTTATATTATAGCAATGAGATGAACACAGACAGATTTTATTTTTTATGATATTTTGTTGTTGTTTTAACTGTACAGAGTGGCCTGAGACCCCTGAGAACTTTAATGCCATTTGAATAAGAAACAGTTTATTTACCCAAAGCGCTTCAACAGTACAAATTCATTTGTGGTAATTTCTACTTTCATTCATATTTAAAGGGTGATAACAATTACTTTCCAAAACATCTTGTTAGCATCTCCACACCTCCAGGCTGGTGGATTTAATGACAGGACACTAGTCCAGCCTGCAGGCGGGGTTCATGTTTGGGATGCAGGTTTGGGCCATCAAGGCTTTAAAGCAGCCACATGTGTTTCACAAAGTGAGCGAATAGCAGCGAGTCTTTCGTGTGGACTGGATGTGTCTCTGTTTCACTTTGTGCCTCCTCATCTGCTCAGCTTGACTTTCATCAAAAGTACACCTGGCATGTATGTTAAACGATCGTGGGCGATCGTGGCTCAAGAGTTGGGCATTCGTCTTGTAATCGGAAGGTTGCCGGTTTGAGCCCCGGCTCCGACAGTCTCGGTCGTTGTGCAAGACACTTCACCCGTTGCCTACTGGTGGTGGTCGGAGGGCCCGGTGGCACCAGTGTCCGGCAGCCTCGCCTCTGTCAGTGCGCCCCAGGGTGGCTGTGGCTACAGTGTAGCTGCCATCACCAGTGTGAGAATGTGTGTGTGGATGGGTGGATGATTGTGTATAGTGTAAAGCGCTTTGGGGTCCTTAGGACCAAGTAAAGCGCTTTACAAATACAGACCATTTACCATTTTTAAACCATCAGCAAGCAAAATGTGCTCTGTCCCATCCATGGAAACGTCTCCCTGAGTGAACTTCATCACAGACGCTCCTGCTGCACACAAACACAGCTTCTCCACACTCTGCATTCATCAATTATAAATCAGAGAAAACAGTATCCATATTTCAGAGATCTGATGGCCACTGTACTGTCACACAGAGGATACCGCGGTGAGTGACACAAACAACATGTTGGCTGTATGAGCTGGAGTCTCCAGCCCGACACCTTTTTCAAACTAGAGGTCTGATCACACTCAAGTCTAACCAGTGCCTTTGTCTAATTATAAACCAAGTTGTGCCATTTAGCATGGGTTTGAATAGCACTCTGGCTGTAAGATACATGTAGGCAGTCACACAACATGTTTTCTTAAAGCTGATAAAGTTCTCACAGTATGTGAACTGGGACTGATATCTGGAGGTGTGCACGGATCTGTTCATTGTAACAAACTCGTAGCCTTAGAGCACGTTGGCATGTTTAACTAATGACATCTGACGTTTAATCAGTGACACACATGTTAATGTGTGCTAAACGCAGCTTTCTGTGTGGTGGCCTTGAAGCCGCGCCCGAAAAAACAGCGATTCAAAACCTTTCCATGGTGGAGACGTTCTGTGTTTCTGTGGACGAAGAAAACGGACGTTTTTGTGCCGTGTCAAAGGTGTTGGTCGGCTTCTGATTGGACAGCATTTCTATGAGGGTTATTTCAGCAACTGGTACTCAGGCCTGCTCTTTACATATCTGATGTTTTCACGTGAATAGTGTTTTCAGTCCCCGTTTAAACGGTACCCATGTAGAGAGTGAAGCCACCGTAATGATTGTTACGACCACGGCTCGTAATCACAACCATCGCAGCCGTCCTGTTAGACGACTCGTAGATTTGGGAACATTCACCGAGAACCTGAAAGCAAAGAAGGGACACAACTTACTCTTACCTCAGTGTGTGTGTGTGTGTGTGTGTGTGTGTGTGATGTACTGTTTCATTATAAATTTGTGACAATGAGAAGGATGGATGGTGAAATTCTCCGACCTCTTCATACTGTTAAACTTTTCTTAGGCATATAATTTTAAATATTATCTGATGTGATGCGCGTCTCTGTACAATGATCTAAAAAGCCATAAGTAAGCTTGCACACTCATCTGAAAAGGGCTGATAGTTCTCTAATGCTTACCCACCATCACCTCGTCTAGCTGATTATTTGTAAATCGCTCCGTTTCTCACGCTGACCGATTCTTCATGTTTGTTTGTCACAGTAACTGGAGTGTTAGTGACGTGTTAGTGACGTGGCGCTCACTGTCATTTCTCTAGCTCACTGCATCTAGAATGAGAACCCAAGAAATGTTATCCCAGTAAATATCGGACCTGTGCAGCAACCATGTGCATGCGTGCACAGTTAGTTAATCGCTGCCTTTATCGTATGAAGTTTGTACAGGCTACAAGCACGCAGTCAAATGTTAGACGGACAAGCAGACGAGTCCTCAGTGTATCCACGTGTCCATCAGCTGCTGTACACGCCGCAGAAAGAAGTAAACTCCCCGTGGCGCTGGCGGGTAATCGGCAGCTGCTTCCAACCGGTCATGTCCAACGTTTCGAGACTGCTCTCTGGCATGTCGTCCTTCAGTTATTATTGAATGCTCTAAAGTGTAAAAAGGTGAGTAACCCAGATGATACCGAATGCATACATGTTCCCCTGCGAGGGAAGAACGTGCAGAATGTTGTCGAGTGTAGGTGTGCGCTCCATCTTCACGCCATGTCTCCTCCACTCCCAAGTGTTTCTTCTTTCAGGCCTTGTCACAGTTTATTCTCACTTCTTCCCAGGTTTCAGTCCAAACTTTAAAGAGATAAACTTTAGAGGTTTTAGAGCAGGAGAGCTTTGTGAATGTGGGCCCAGGTAGATGATGAACTGCCCGGATTGTTACTAAGCAGTTTTAACCGTGTGCGTAGTTTCTGTTCAGATGTTGTAGCTCTCGTATGTTGCCTTTCTCTTTCAAGCTTCAAGAACAAATTGGGTGTTTGTGGGTGTTTAAAATGTGTGGAGAGCATTCAGGCCGTCACAGGTCGCTCTTCTTGACTCGTTTGCTTTGGGTCACTGTTTCGTTGCAGCCTCTCTTCAGTTTGGACCACTGTTGCTTTATTGAAACGTCCGACTCCAGGTAGCTTTTGGGAAGTCTTCATTTTCTTTACGGGGCAACAGTGTGAGGTACGACTCGGTATGTTCAACTCGCACTGAGTCGTACCTTAGTTTGTGTTAGATTGTTATATAATTCTGCAGAAATACCGGCCACACCGAGCTGTTCTTGAAACGGTTTGAACCTCAGCCGAGTCCACGTTAGTTGGATCAGTCACGTGAGTCAGTGTGGTTGAGCCTGATCACTGATGCAACAGTCTCTCCAACATCCTGAATCAGTGTATCTGTCTGTGTGTTTGCTGGCTTCTGTTAGCTCTGTGCTCTCTGTTTTACTGAATTTGTCCTACAGTTTACTGGAACTTTGATGTTGGGATTGGAAATATGACAATAAACTTTTTTAATGAATCTTTCCGTCGTGTTTTTCTGTTCTTGTCCTGGCACACATCAGATGTTTGTGTGCAGGTTTGATGAAATGATTTGGCCTCTTACGAGTGTTTTTTGACCAAAATGTTTGTTGGGGAAATAAAGTGTTTGTGGCTTCTTGTTTGATTCTGTTGTGGAAAAAAATGACAGAAACATGAGCGCAGTCACTACGAGATGGGTCACAGTCAAAAGATGAGGGTGTGGAGTAGATCTGACTGTATTTATTTGTTTTAACCAATGGCAGCAGCAAAGACATTACCATTAGATGTGTTCAAGCTTCACAGAGATCTGAAGTTCACAGAGGAGAAAGTCGCCGTGCTTTAAACTGAGCCTCTGGATGTTTCACGTGGGATGCATTCATACTTTTCTTGCTTGAATTTGTACACTTTGTGTTATCCAAGGTTCTGTTATTAGCCTTAGTTCTCCGTAAAACATTAATTCTTGACTTTTTAATGTGGCCTGGTTGTCTCCCTCTGACTCTCGTGTTGTTCTAAAACAGGGATGTGGGACTCCAGGCCTCGAGGGTCCTGCAGGTTTTAGATGATGATCCAACACAGTCGATTTAAATGGCTCAATGACGTCCTCAACATGTCTCATGTTTCTAGAGATAACGAACTAATCACGGGATTTTTACATGCGTTTATTATGTAGACCCTTTTCAAATTTATATTCAGTACTTTATAGTATTGGATCATGATTATTGATAAATCAATGATTTGATTTTGATTGATTTGATTTGATTTTATTGATTAGCATTCAAATATCTCAGTGAAGACAGAACAAAGATCTACCACAAAGCAAGAAAGCACGAGACAAGGCTAATCAAAAGGTATTGGCTGAAGCATTTGCTTATTACGCCAACCCTTTAACAAAAGATCTTTTTGCATGCAGCTCCTGTACACAGGGCTCAAAGCAAAGAATAAAACAAAGCAAAAACCAAACAAACAAACAAGAAAAAAAAACTTTCCACCTTAGATAAGTAACTACATCAAAGCAAAAGAATCAAGAGTTTTTTTTGGTCTTTTCATTCTTGATTTATATATTTTTCTAATACTATATTTTTAAACAAGGAAAATGAACTACACCTTTTTAAATCACTGTCATAAGTATTCCACAGGTTAACTCCTCTAACAGAAACACATCTCTGCTTTATATTTGTCCTTATCTTGTTTTTCTTAAAGAAATCTGTTCCCCTTAAGTCATATTGACTCTCTCTGACTTTGAACAGCTTCTGAGTACTGGGGCAAAGCAAGTTATTTTGTGCTTAATACAATACAATAACTCTTTAATGTTCCACCTCAATGGAACTTCGAGCTACACAGAAACAGAAAAAATGTAATCTATAATAATGCAATTAATTTGCACAATAAGAAGAAAGTCATTTTTAATCATGTGTTATTTAGAAATGTTACACTGCTTTTTAAATGGCACGTCACTCCTTGGTAACTGATGAAAAGCAGTTTGATGACAGATTTCAGTCCACCCATCCTCTTCCACGTATCAGGGTTTCTGTCCCAGCTGGGCGAGAGGTCCTCGTGTACAGCCTGACAGTGAGAGCGCGAGGGGTTGGTTGGATTTCAGTCACCGTGCAGCACGTCTGTGCAGGCTGACTGCACTCTTAACCAGAGATGGGCAGTAACGCGCTACTTGTAATGCGTTACTTGTAATGCGTTACTGTAATCTGATTACTTTTTTCAAGTAACGAGTAAAGTAAGGGATTACTAATGCAAAAACAGTAATTAGATTACCGTTACTTTCCCGTAGG